TAAAAATTTGTAGTAGTTCGGAGAACCGGTAATAAGATTGGCTGGCCACACCCCCGAACCGGTCCCCAGCCCGATTGCCGCTCACTTACCCCGCCCACCTCATCAGAGGCTTTTTTTTTTAATTTTAAAAGCATTTTTTCTACAACTTCTTCTGCTGAAAAAAATGCTTTTAAAAGTTAAAAAAAAAAGCCTCTGATGATCGTGCGGCTCAGCTGGGATCGTCAGAGGCTTTTAAAAGCATTTTTTCTACAACCTCTTCAGCCGAAGAGGTTGTAGAAAAAAAAATGCCTTTAAAAGCCTCTGGCGATCCCAGCTGAGTTGCCTGATCGTCAGAGGCTTTTAAAAGTATTTTTTTCTGCATTCTCTTAAGATTGTAGAAAAAATGCTTTTAAAAATTAAAAAAAAAAAGTTGGCCACGCTCACCCAGTCACATTACCCCTCCCACCAAGCCATGCCCACAGAACCGGTAATAAAAATTTTTAGAACCCACCCCTATACCACACCAGTTAATAATTTGAAAGTTGTTGGTAAGCAGGTAATGGGCCTGTGGTTGCCTGGTGCTGCCCCTTTTGCATTATCAGGTAGGTTTTGCTAGACGTTGGCCACGCTTCAATTTCACCTCCTTGCAATATGTTATTAGCTACTTGACAAGTGGATGTAGACTAGTCAGATGTTTCAACCAAAATCTATGCAATTCATCTTCACTTGGAGCTGATCAATTCTTGGTCTTATTTGCCCTTTTCTATGTCTTTTCAGCTGTTATGAGTTCTTTGATTTCAGTTTCTTTTTTATTTGTATCCATCTTCTTTAATCATTGTTACATTTCTTTGAGTTATCCTATATCTTTGCCCAAAACTTCTTTTCTTTCATCTAATTTATTTGCATCTAATTTCAGTTTGCTAATTTAACTTTTAAGTCTGATCTTCCATTTTGGTGGTGCAGTGTTTGCCTTTTTCCTCTCTTTTTTTGTTGATTTCATCCTAAGTATACAATTATAACTGCAGTTGTTTTGTACATTAGTTGGTTTGTTTCTTGTAGTGAGATGGTGTGTATATTTGATATTGCTGTATTAGCATCTTCTAATGCTTGTGCTAGCTGTTTCTTTGGAACAAGCTTCAATGCTGGCAAGCTTATTTTATGGTTTTTGTGCTGTTCTGGATGCTCAATTATTCTTTTTTCTACTTTAATTTTTCTACTTCTTTAATTAGAGGGCTTTGTTCTTTCTCAGACAGAGGAGAGTGTGCCTGGTTCCAAATAAAATATTTCTATATCTTCTGTTTTTCTCTATTGCCAACTCCCCCTAATTTGCCCTTATATTATAGTCTGAGTTATTTCTGGCAATCTATTTTTGATTTCTTTGGTCAGGGTAGACCTTTGTAATTCTTCCAATTCTGCTTCCATGAATATTCTATTTCATATTAAGTCAACTTTAACCTGCCAGCCTATGATCTGTTATTTCTAATTATGGATGTTGTTCCTTCCAGAACTGGTGCATTTGTCTCAAATATCCTCTTCTTGTTGGACTTGATCATTATTTCTGATCAGTATTTCTTTGTTTTCAATCACTGTATATTTGCAATGGATAAACATCTTTCGTTCCAATAGTTCTGCAGTTGGTGGCTCTGGTTGGTGAGCCAATAGTCCTGAGTTCTATAGCCCATTTTTCAGATGTCCAGGACAGGGATGGGATTCAAGTAATTTAACAACTCTGCCCTAATGATTTCTTCCAACAACCAGTTTGCCAAACTGCTCAGAAAGTTAACAACCGGTTCTTCCGAAGTAGTGCGAACCGGCTGAATCCCACCACTGATCCAGGAACTCCCAGAACTGGTGCGGTCCTTGTTGACCCAGGTGATGACTAAGCCAGTATGAGTTTCTGTAATTTATATCTTACCATATTTTTTTATGGGCGTGACACTCTTTGACTTCGAATGAGACCTGTTCAGTATTTTTTTTTTTTAGTATTTAGTAGTATTTATTTATTTGTCAAACATGTACCAGATAACAGGTATAAGTATAAACATGGACATGAACATAAGAAATGAGTATAAACATGGACATGAACATAGGAAATGAGTACAAATAAATGGGGACAGTAAGACAGGGACGGTAGGCACACTGGTGTGCTTATGCATGCCCCCTTTATGGACCTCTTAGGAATGGGGTGAGGAGGTCCGCGGTAGACCCGTTAAGGTTGAAGCTGTAGGGGTTTGAGGATGTAACAACCAAGTCAGGTAGAGCATTCCAGGCGTTGATTGCTCTGTTGCTGAAGTCGTATTTTCTGCAATTGAGTTCGGAGCGGTTTACCTTGAGTTTGTATTTATTGTTTGCCCGAGTGTTATTGAGGTTGAAGCTGAAGTAGTCGTTGACAGGTAGGACGTTGTAACAGACAATTTTGTGTACTCTGCTTAGGTCAGATCGTAGGCGGCGTAGTTCCAGGTTGTCCAGGCCCAAAATTTCGAGCCTGGTAGCATAAGTGAGCAGAGGAGTGGAGTATGGAGTATGGTTGAGCCATTGGCGTAGCTCTCATCTTCTTCAGAGCACACCAGCCCCACAATCACACCAAGGTAGTGCCTCACTGGGGGTTAAGATATTATTATTATATTTTGCCTTATTATATAAAATACTTTATATAAAACTGAAAGTAGCAAACATACCTACCATATTTTTCGGAGTATAAAATGCACCTTTTTCCCCAAAAAAGAGGGTGAAAATCTGGGTGCATCTTAGTGCACTCTGGGTGCACTCCGAATGTAGCCCCGCCCAGCTTCTCAAACGGAGGTTTCAGAGGCTGAAAAAAGCATCAGAAACGAAGCTTCAGAAAAGAAGCCCCCAAACAGAGCTTCAGAAAAAAAGCCCCCAAACAGAGTTTCAGAGGCTTTTTTTCTGAAGCTCTGTTTCGGAGGCTTTCAGAGGCAGAAAAGAAAGTTTTTTCTGAAACAGAGTTTCAGATGTTTCAGAAGCAGAATAAAAAGCAAAAAAAAAGCAAGGCACAGAGCTCACAACTAAGGAACCTGTTGCTAAAATTCACCTTTGGGAACAGCTGATTGGGGGTATTCCGGGAGGCCGAACCACCTGCCAATCAGCTTTTTTCTTATTTTCCTTCCCAAAAACTAAGGTGCGTTTTATACTCTGAAAAATACAGTATTGCTCCTGCCTCCTATTTTTCCCACAATAAAAATCCTGCAAGGTGGGTTGGGCTGAATTATTAGACCAATAACACCCACCTGGATTTCATGCTTAAGGAAGGTGAGAACTCAAGTCTTCTGGTTTTAAGGTCAGCACTTAATCACAACATCAAACTGGCTCTCAGGAATGTTCTTTCTGGCATATTAAGTTACAGTGAATATGATTTTTAAAAAACTTTATCATATCATTTAAATGTTGAAGTATTAAAATGCAATATAACCTAATCTTGGTAATGGAAGAGTGTATTAAAACAATAATCAGTGAATATTTATTCAATGAATATAAATATTTAGTGATGTCCTTTGTGGGGGGGACCAAGAAAGATTCTGAGTACTACCGTGTTTCCCTGAAAATAAGTTTGAAGTTTGAAGTTTATTAGATTTCTATACCGCCCTTCTCCCAAAGGACTCAGGGTGGTGTACAGCCATATTAAAACACATAGATTTATAAAATTTAAAACCAATTAAAATCGGATATAAAAATTTGGCCCGCAAATTAAAACACACATACGCCCATTATAAAATTCGTACTAGGCCAGTCCGGCTTGCTGGAACAGAAGGGTCTTAAGGGCGCGGTGAAAAGTATGCAGGGCGGGGCTAAGACGAAGCTCTAGGGGCAGTTCATTCCAGAGGGCTGGTGCCCCCACCAAGAAGGGTCTCCCCCTGGGTGTCGCCAGTCGGCATTGTTTGGCCGACGGCACCCTGAGGAGCCCCTCTCTGTGGGACTGTATTGGGGGAGGTTGTTGATGGCAGAAGGCGATCTCGTATATACCCCAGTCCTAAGCCATGGAGCGCTTTAAAGGTGGTAACCAACACCTTGAATCGCACCCGGAAGACCACCGGGAGCCAGTGCAGCTCGCGCAGGAGGGGTGTTACATGGGTGCACAGAGTCGCACCCATAATCACCTGCGCGGCCGCATTCTGGACCAGTTGGAGCCTCCGAGTGCTCTTCAAGGGGAGCCCCATATAGAGAGTGTTGCAGTAGTCCAGATGGGACGGGACGAGGGCATGAGTGACCGTGCGCAGGGCATCCCGGTCCAGAAAGGGACGCAACTGGATGCATCAGGCGAACCCGATAAAAAGCTCCCCTGACCACAGCCATCATGTGATCTTCCAAAGACAGCCTTGCGTCCAGGAGGACACCCAAGATGCGAGCCCTCTCTGAGGGGGCCAAGGTCTCGCCCCCAATAGTCAGCGATGGAACCAGCTGACTATACCGGGATGCCGGAAGCCACAGCCACTTGGTCTTGGAGGGATTGAGTTTGAGCTTGTTTCTCCCCATCCAGTTCCACATGGCCTCCAGGCACTGGGACATCACGTCAAGGGCATCATTGGGGTGGTCCGGGGTGGAGATGTACAGCTGAGTATCGTCAGCGTACTGGTGGAACCTCACCCCGAAAACACACATGATCTCGCCCAGTGGCTTCACATAAATGTTGAATATAAGACCGGGTCTTATATTAATTTTTGCTCCAAAAGATGCATTAGGGCTTATTTTCTGGTTAGGTCTGATTTTGGGGGAAATATGGTACTAAATGCATCCATCTGGCTGATAAACTTAACTGGGGCTTATTTTGGGGATAGGGCTTATATTACAAGCATCCTGAAAAATCATGCTTGAAATGTATGATAAGACCCAACCGGAAAATAAGTCAATAGGACTTATTTTCCGGTTGGGTCTTATTTTCGAGGAAACAGGGTATTTTCTATATTATATGAAAGGAGACAGAAGATCCTTATGACTGCTGAGAATTTATTATTGTTCAGATTATTCTTAGAACATCTTCATTTTTTTTTCTCTTTTTTCCCCAGAGGGTATGAACTGCATGAACAAAGATCATGGGTGTGAACATATCTGCCGGGAGACACCCAAAGGTGGGGTTGCCTGTGAATGTAGGCCTGGCTTTGAACTTGCCAAAAACCAGAAGGATTGCAAATGTAGGTAGATGTATTGCTAAATTTCATATGTCCAATATGCTTTATTTTCCATATTTGCTGTTATTATCTAAAATCGGGAAAAACAGTATTGATTTTATTGAGCTTTTTCATTTTAATTTCATTTATTGGATTTATATACTGCCCTACTCCCGAAGGACTCAGGGCGGTGAACAGCCACAGAATAAAACACATAAATACAAAATTTAAAAACAGAATAAAACTGAATTAAACAATTTGGCCGAGACAAATTTAAAACACCCAATAATTTTAAAAACAAATTAAAATTTACATTTTAAAGGGGAAAGATTTAGGCCAGGCCGGCTTGATGGAATAAAAAAGTCTTGAGAGCGCGATAGAAGGTACACAGATCCGGGATCCTCCGTATCTCCGGGGGGAGCTCATTCCAGATAGTAGGTGCCCCCACAGAGAAGGCTCTCCCCCTGGGGGCCGCCAGTCAACATTGTTTGGCTGACGGCACCCGGAGGAGCCCCTCTGTATGAGAGCATACCGGCCAGTGGGAGACTATTGGTGGTAGCAGGTGGTCCCGTAAATAACCAGGTCCTAAGCCATGGAGCGCCCTAAAGGTGATAACCAAAACCTTGAAGCGCACCCAGAAGACCACCAGGAGCCAGTGCAGCTGAAGGTTGTTGTTTTTTCCTGTAAAAAGCAACAGAAATTGAATCATTTAGAAGGTTTAATAGATTAATTTTCCAACCATTTCTTTGAAGTTACACTGGTAGTTGAAAATTAGAATATCCAACTCTAGCTAATCTTCTCTGTTGCATTTCATGCCTCCTGAGCGAGTTTAATTATCGTTATCTGTTCCCAACAATGAGAAGTTAGAGCTGATAATTCTTTAGCTGGTGTGAGCCTTCATATGCATTAAGTTCTTCCCAAAAAGCTAGGATGTCATAATGTATTGATATAGTTAGTATATGTTCAGATCCAAGCAGTGTGGCCCTTTGCAACTGATAGATTTGAACCCTGAAATAAGCGCTTGGCCTTATTGCCAGGTGCTCAAAAGCCCAATTGGGCTTATTATCAGGGGATGTCTTATTTTGTGGGAAACAGGGTATACATAGCTTTATTGATGATGTGAACAAGAGTGTGACGAATCACAAGTGAACTCAGAACATTATATTCTTTTTTTGTTTTTAAGCAATAAAGCAAGTAAGCAGAAGTTTTGGAGTTGGGAAAAACAGGAGTTTGCTAGCTGTAAAACATCTGAAAAATAGAAATGCCAGGAACAAAATAATGCAGAGACAGGGCAGCTTGTTACCTATCAATTGTTTCCTTTCTAACAGCAACTTCATAGTTTCACCAAAATGATTTTATTTTGACAGAAGAACAGTTGGATAACTCTAGAACATACTATAAACTACTAGTATAGAAATTACCACTGAGGGAGAAAAATTAACTTAGAGGCATCAGAAAGCACTTTATAGTGATGGAATCAGTTCTGCTTCTCCTTAGCAGCTCATTCATCAAACAAATTTCCAAAAAAGGGAAGGGACAAGATCTTTCCCCCCACCTTTTTTTTTTTTTTTTTGGTGAGGTGGGGGCAAGGGAATAAGGGGTTGATTTATGGACTTCTGGGAGCCTGATTTAGAACAAAATATTGAAACTAGTAATAAAATGCCTGTAAGATGAACCAAAGTAAATTTTGCTGCGCACATAGCAAAATAAAATTTGCATGCAAATATGCATAGCATATAGTTTATGAATAGATTTTAAAAGAATCATAATTGAAAGCTAGTATATTTTACAAAACAATTGGATATGTATCTTACACTTAGGGAAACATGGTATGGCTAGCAGAGTTTAATTCCCCTTGAAATTAAGTAAAAAAAAAACTGGACATTTTTGAGTGAACCTATACATGAACCTATAGAGATAGACTGATGGAAACATGTCACTCATAGAATTTTTAAAAAACAGCCAAGAGCAATACCGTTGCTGTCTAGTTCAGCCTAGTCCAGCCCCAATGGAGGTAAGGAACTGATTTCATAGTGGGGTAGTATTCACTTACCTTCGCTACCGGTTCGCAAATGTGAGTGCGTGCGCAGGACCTTCCACGCATACGCAGAGCGTCAAAAATGGGACGTGATTACAGGACATGGGCGGAGCCTCCTGCCGCTATTGGTTCACCCGAACCAGATAGAACCAGATGACTACCACCACTGTTTCCTAGCCTCCCTCTGGAAGGAAGCATGCAGACACCTGGAGAAAGGACATCATCAAGTGCTCCTATGATATGAAGTAAAGTAGCCCAGGCTTCCCCAGGAAAAAAAAAAGGCAAATGTTGGTGATAGGAGACTCAATTCTCAGGAGAACAGAATCAGCCATGATTCTGGACAATCAATCTAGGGAAGTATGTTTTCTCCCTGGAGCAAAAATCAAAGATGTGGCTGAAAACCTCACTAAAATAATCAAGTCCACAAATTATTATCTTTCTTCTCCTTCATGTGAGTACGAATGACACAACAATGTCAGAGTGCGCACATTGTGACTAGGTAAGACAACCCAAGAGCAAATACAGTAAATAGGTTTGTATTTACATATAGTGGTTTTATCCACAAAACCATATATGCGTACAGGTACTTTGAGACAGGCCTTGAACACAGGCAAATAGCATTTACAGCACGGAGGCCCCAACAGGGCCTCTCTTATAATACAGTCTCTTAAAGTGGTAACAGTCAAATAATCCTGCTGACTCATTACTACCATTGCATCATCATTACAGCATTACAGTATTACAGCAACTAGTCAGCTATTAAATCATCATTACCCTGACAAACAACGAATCTAAAACAATATCAAGAGACTAAGAGCAGTTCATCAAGTAAGTTAAGGAGTTAGGAGCACAAGTAGTATTCCCATCTGTACTTCCAACAAAAGGTCAACATCCAATGAGGGAACAAAGGATTTTAGAAATGAGCCACTGGCTCAAGGATTGGTGCCACCAAAAGAATTTCGGATTTCTAGATCACGGTCTGCATTATCTACAAGAAGGGCTTCTGGCAAGGGATGGACTGCACCTTACAAGAACCGAGAAGAATGTATTTGAAAAATGATTGGCTCAGCAAAGGGCTTTAAATTAAAACTGAGGGGGGAGAGGGACCAATCTTTAGGATCTTTAGGACTTAATCCCAAACATAAACTACAAGACAACCAATCAAATAAGAAGGTAGAGAGAGATGGGAAGGAAGAAAAACCTCAGCTGCAAAGTAGGAGATGTAGAAAGCATACTCAGGGTCAGGCATAAAGGAACCAGATGCCTATACATCAACACTCAAATTTTGGGGAACCAACAGGGCGAACCTGAAGTATAGTAATATGAGGGAAAGTATGATATAGTTGCCGTTCCTGAAACTTGGTGGGATGAAACTCACGACTGGGATGTACTAATGGAAGGTATAAACTGTTCAAAAGAAAAAACCTAACAAAAGAGGAGGTAGAATTGCACTATATGTAAGAGATCACTACACCTCTACAGAAATGCATAAAACCAAAGATGAAAGCTTCCCAGAATGCATATTGGTTAATATAAAATTTAAAAAAGAATGACATTGCCATAAGTGTATACTACAGGCCACCCAAACAAGCAGAAGAAATAAATGAACTACTGGACTTATTCCTTACTAATAGAGATGAAATGATAGAAGAGAAGTTGAAGTTGTGAGAACTTTTGGGGAAGAGTGACCATGTCACTCTGAAATTCAACATAATGCAGGCAAAAGCAATAGAACATAATCAAACCAGTGCCTTAGACCTTAAAAGAACTAATTTCAACAAACTTAGAGAGAGCTTGGGAAGGATTCCATGGGTGAAAATCTTATAAGGGAAAACAACTCAAGAAGCATAGGAAATTTGAAAACAGCACAATACCATTGAAAAAGAAAAATAAGAAATCCAAGAAGAAACCAATATGGTTGCGCAAAGAACTCTCTGATAAATTGAAAGAAAAAAAGAATAAATATAAAAAATGAAAAGAACGACATATAAATAAGGCAGAATACTAGCATACAGCCCAGATCTGAAAGATGAAGTCAAGAAAGTTAAGGCTCAGAATGAAGTAAAACTTGCAATAAATGTTAAAAGTAATAAAAAAAAAGGTTCATTCAACATATAAAAAAAATTAAAAAGTCAAAGAAATAATTAGTCCACTAATGGAAGAAAATGGCAAGGAAGTGATAGGCAGCAGGAAGAAAGCAGAGCTGCTTAATTCTTTCTTTGCATCTGTCTTCATACAAAAAAAAAAAAGCCTACCAAAAACAGAACATAAAAAATGGTCTAGGAATTCAAATTAAAATAGGCAAGAAAATGGTAAAAGAACTCCTGTCCACCCTTGATGAATTCAAATCCCCAGGATCTGATGGATTACATCCCAGAGTTCTGAAGGAGCTGGCAGACATGATCTTGGACCCATTGAACCATATCTTTCAAAGATCCTGGAGCACCAAGGCACTGCCAGGAGACTGGGAAAGAGCTGATGTGGTTCACATACTCAAAAAAAATTCCTGTAATCCAGGAAATTACAGACCAATCAGCCTGACATCAATATCTGGAAAGATCCTGGAAAAGATAATCAAGCAACAGATCTGTGAAGTCAACATGGGTTTGTCAAAAAGAAATAATGCCAAACAAATATTTCATTCTTTGATACAGTGACCAAATCAGTGGACCAGCAATGGATATAGTATACATGGATTTCCGTAAGGCATTTAACAAAGTAGACCACAACCTACTTTTTGGTAAGCTAGAAAAATGTACGATAGACAGCATCATCACCAGATGGATAGGTCTGTATTTTCCTAGATTTTCTTTTTTTTTTTAATCTTTTCTGAAGATTGGAACCACATCAGCTCTTTTTCCAGTCTTCTGGAAGTTTCCCCATGTCCCAGGAGCTCTGAGAAATTTCATTCAGTGGTTCTGAGATCACATCTGCCAGCTCCTTCAATATCCTGGAATGTAATCATCTGATCCCAGAGTTTTGAATTTGTCCAAAGCAGATAGGTGTTCTGTTATCAATTCTGTGCCTATTTGGCAGTGGTGAAATCTGAACCGGTTTACTACTGGTTTGCTGGCTGCGCATGCACAATGCGCACCATGCACCAAATGCGAGATGCACGTGCATTGCACGCCAAAGGGAGGCATGCGGTAAGTAGAACAGCGCGTGAGGGGAGGTGATCAGCTGTGGCGCGCAATCTTTTTTTTTACTTTTAAAAGCATTGATGATGATCGCGCGACTCAGCTGGACATGGGGGCGGGCACAGAGATTTTTGCTACCGGTTCTCCGAACCACCCACCGCCATCGCTACCAGATCAGGTGATCCGGTCTGAACTGGGAGCATTTCACCCCTGCTATTTGGTCTGTCCACAGTGGTGCTTTTCACAGGTTGAGGTTTTGTTTTTCCTTTTGTGTAAAGACAGATGCAAAGAACAGTTCTGCTTTCTCCCTGCTGCCTGTCACCTTCTTGCCATCTTCTGCCATTAATGGACCTATTGTTTCCTCTACTTTCTTCTTGCTCCTTACATATTGGAAGAAAGTTATTTTTGGCATTTGTTGCACATCTTAGTTCATTACTTTCTTGTTTAGCATTTACTTTAGTGTAATACTTTCTTACCTAAATTATTGCTTAGGGGAGGCAGTATTGCAATCAGTGTGTCTAGTTAAAACTATGGTTTTAAGAGCTGTTTATTTATTTGCAAATGTTCTGTACCACCCCAATCTAAGCCATTAGTTTACTTTTTTTTTTTTTACTATAGGCAGCCTTTTTTGATCAAGACTCTTTCTCCGTATCGATCAAATATATAGTCTGTGTCTTAACAAAATTAAACAATTAGATCACCTGCTTATAGCCTTGGGGACTGTGCCTTACAGGGGTTTAAATAAAGTTTGGAACAGGTGGAAGCCCCTCATTTAAAAAAGGACTGAAGTACATTCCTTAATGCCTTTACTTTGAGTGACATTTCATTGGGACTAATAACTTCTTAAAACTGTTGCTCTTTAGCAAGGAAGTTTGGGGAGACATTTATCAATCAATGTCATTGTTTTTCTAAGTTGTAAATCATTTTTTGTGTCTGGAGGACAGAAAGAACTAATTGGCTTTATTGTTGCTTTATTCATATATATGTATATACATATTTTTGGGAAAATAACTAGTAACCTGTAACTATGGAAATGGAGGCTGCCAACACACGTGTGATGACACAGATAGTGGTCCTGTGTGCGGTTGTCATCAGAAATATGCACTGCATTCAGATGGCCGAACATGCATTGGTAAGTACTTTTCTATTTTTTCTGTTCTCCGTTGTAGAAAAGGATATGTTAAGGAATCTTAATGTTATTTGATAAGATTGGAGTGTGAATGTCATGTAAGCCAGCAAATAAATAGTATAATCATGCATTAGCTGATTACGGATTTGTCACTTTAAATAAAAATGAATGTCTGGCCAAATCCCAGTTGCTTTTAAGGAGTGAGGTTTTTTTTTTGTGACAGAAATCCACACCTAGATTTTTCTCCAATTTAGCAGTATCTGATGTAAGCTTTAAAGAGCCTGTAGTACAGTGGACTAAAGCACTGTTATTAACAGATTAACATCTGCTGCTTGCAATTACTGCAAGTTCAAATCCCACCAGGCTCAAGGTTGACTCAGCCTTCCATCCTTTCAAAGGTAGGTGAAATGAGGACCCAGATTGTGGGGGCAATAAACTGACTTTGTATAAATATACAAAAGTATGAAGGCTATTGCTTAACGCATTGTAAGCCGCCCTGAGTCTCCGGAGAAGGGCGGCATATAAATTAAAGCAAAATAATAATAATAATAATAATAATAATAATAATAATAATAATAATAATAATAATAATAATAATAATTCTGATAGATAACGGATGATGGCATTTTTACTTAATTTTTAAATGGAATCTGCATATAAAAGCCAGAAAGTCCAATAATAATTCCTAATTAAATTTTACCATGAAACATTGAATAAAATAGAAGCTCAGTTTTCATGAATACAGAGCTGATAGTGCAAACCGTACCATTTATACAGAATTCTCTCTTCTTTAAATATGGATGCATTAGCCAAAGTTAGCTTATATGTACAGAAAAATAAATTGTCAACTGTAAAAAAAAAAAAAAGTCAAGTTCCATGAAGTCAATATCAGAGGTGGGTTTCAGCAGGTTCTGACCAGTTCTGGAGAACCGGTAGCAGAAATTTTGAGTAGTTTGGAGAACCAGTAAAAACCACCTCTGACTGGCCCCATCCCTATCTATTCTCTGCCTCCCGAGTCCCAGCTGATCGGGAGGAAATGGGGATTCCGCAGTAACCTTCCCCTGGAATGGGGTGGGAATGGAGATTTTACAGTATCCTTCCCCTGCCACGCCCACCAAGCCATGCCCACCAAGCCACACCCACAGAACTGGTAGTAAAAAAATTTGAAACCCACCACTAGTCAATATATATGTTAAAGACTATTAGGCAAGTAACTAACTCTCCTTTAACAAACTTCGATTATGTAAAGCAGAGATTTTCGTCCCAACATGGAAATACCTCAGCCTAGGTTTAGTTCACAACTATTAGCTTGGATGAAATGAATAGATTTCATTTTAAAAAGTGGACAGATTAAGATTCTAAGTAAAATGTAGCTGCTATGCTAGGCTCAGGATATTTGGGGTTTCTCCATAGTTTTACTTTTGAATAATTAAGAATCATCTTAATAAGACTATTCACATAACTGCAGAGGATAATCTTAGGTTGTAGACGGCTTGGGAATCTGAGTATTGATGTAAGTGAGGGTAAGTGAGAGAACAAACAAATTCGGCTTAAATTTCTGTCGTGTATCTTTTAATGATTTTTGTTTGGTTTGGCATATTGTTGAATCACTGAACACTATACTTTCTCCTTCCATCTTCGCAATGTTGTTATGTAATATGATGTCACGTTACACTATTTATTCTGATGTAAGTCGCATATTGCTGCTTGTGTGTGCTTTATTTTTTTACACCTCCTTCTCCACTTTCTGAGTAGAGTTTTCTCTTAGATTTTTTTTTTTTCAAATTTTTTGTTTTGTTTTCATTTTATTCCTGCTTTCTGGTGATGGTTCCTGATTGCCTGTCTTGTATGATATCTGAAGTTAATAAATTATTTCTGGAAAAACAAAAACTCAAAAAAAGGAAAAGAAAACGTCAAACCAAAGCCTCTATTGCAGCCTGATCCCATCTAGAACTTGATTTCTTCCTAGAACAACAGAACCATTTAGCATTTCCACAGATAAACCCTGCCAGCTTCTTCCCCTTCCTGTGATTTCTTTTGCTCCTTGTCTCTCCTTTCTCTTTACTCTCTTCAGTGATGTCTGCAATTCTGGCATCACTGCACGGATGCAAATATTTGCAAAGGCGCCGAAGTTATCTGTTTGTCTAATCCAGGGGTGTCAAACTCAATTTCATTGAGGGCTGCATTTGACCTCGGGGGAGGGGGGCAGGGGGTGTGTAGCCAGCTTGAGGTCACTCATGTCGGGGGGGGCGCCTGTGGTGGCCCAAGTGCTCTGGCAGCAAAAACAGGCTCCCAAGCTCCATTTTTGGCTGTGACGGCCTCCTGCAGCCCTCTGCCAATGAAAACAGAGCTTGGAAGGGCTGCGTGTGGCCCTCCTTACCTCCGTTTTCGGCCACGATGGCTCCTGCAGCCCTCTGCCAATGAAAATGGAGCTCAGAGGTGTGTGTGCTGGCAGAGCTTCTGAGCTCCATTTTTGCTGGCAGAGGCACCGCTGGCCGGTCCTTCACTGTTTCCAAGGTGGCCCTGCAGGCCAGGTCTAAGCACACTGCGTGCCAGATCTGGCTCCTGGGCCTTGAGTTTGACACCCCTGGTCTAATCCATTTTGTTTTTGTTTCTTTGGCTTATTCTCTTATTTTATGTCTGCTGCATGTACAAGTTCCCCCCTTGTGTTTTGTTTTGTTTTTTTCTTTGAGATGCAGTCCTCCATTTTATATAATTTTAATCCCGCCACCACTGCTTTCCATATGATTTAACCCTCTTTACTCATATCATCTCTTCTCATCCCTGCAAATGGATCGTTTGGGGTGTATTTTGAAATACTACATTAATTTGCTGTAATGCCGAATTGGAGCTTTTCATATACCAAACATCAGAAATTACCTGCAAGATGCCATATCACTAACACCGCCCTCTGCTGTACCGCATGCTTCAAAAATTATTAGTCTCTTCCTATGACATCTTTTTTGTAGCACTGAATGTTTAGCTAGTTGTGTTTCATTAGACAAGCAGGCAACCAGCACTGCCCAATTCGTTTCATTTTTAAGTTTGTGTTTCTTTTATTTTACGTTTTATTTTTTAAAATGCATGTGTGTTTTTTTTAATTTCTTGTGTTTTATTTTTTTATTTTTTTTTAAATCAACATGAGCACATTTCCATTCCCACCCATCACCGGATTCTTGTAGCTCTGTTCTATGTTCAAAACCTTGCACTTGTCAACATGTCATACTTACCTTTTGTTTCCTCTTTTTTAACAATATGTTTACTTTAAATGTTGTAAATTACGTTTCTCAATTAACACCCGTCCTGGGCATCCTTTCTTGTGTATGTGTTTTTATTGGTGGGAGATCAGCTCCTTAAGTGTTGGCTGGTGAATGACTTCGTTTTCACCCCCTTCTAACCACCTCTAGCACCTCCTTCCAACGCACTTTGGTTTGTATCTGGGATTTGAGTCACATTTCTCAGTGGGGTTTTCATGTTTTCATGCTTTAGTTGCCCAAAGTCAAGAGACTGTCTTCCACAGTGGAAAACTGGGCTTCTCATTAACCAAGTGCTCCATGTTTGTCCCTTCCTTTGTTTTAGAGAAGGATGAGGCTGCAATTGAGAGCTCTGAGTTCAATGCCACGTCAGTAGCTGATGTGGACAAGCGGGTGAAACGGCGGCTACTTATGGGTAACACTTTTCTTCCACTTCCTTTGATGTGCTCCCAACTTTGTCTTTCTCTGTGGGGAATGAGGGGCCCTTCAGTTATTTTTGTACTTAATTTGTTCCATCTCTCTGCTGAGGTTCCTAATTGGTTCAAGAATCTTGAATAAAATCATTTTATTTTCCATTTTACATCTACTTTCTCTGTATACGCAATCTGTTTATAACCTTGTCATGTTAAATGTTGAAAGTATTTGCTGCAGAGGAGAAAACATTGGCCGCTAACTTACTTACCTGACAAATGCTCACTTTTCACACATGATTTGTGTCATTCTATGACTACAAACTTACCAAATATATATTTGATACATGATGATGCATTATGACATTATGATACGATGCATATAAAATGCATATTGACACAACTCTTGAGCTTTAGGTTAAAGCAATGATGTTGTAAAATAATTGATCTCTTTTATGTGAGTCTTTAAAACAATGGTTTTCATTATACTTTGGTCATAGAATAATATATGTTTTCTTGAAGTAAGTTTGAAATTATTGGAAAAATCTCCTTGCCTACTGTTGTCAATAAGCTGCCATGTTTTTTTTTTCTAATCAAGATACTATATAAATATAGCCAAATACAACAGCTGCTGTTTTTTCTACTTTATTTGAAGTATTTAAAACTGGTAAATGCAAAAACAATAATTAATTATTGCTCTTGTGGGATTATTCCTTCCTTTTACATAGCATTTAATTAGAATTGTAGTCATATTTAGTCATATTAGTCATTTTATCTATGAACAATTATCCAAAGTAAGAAGAATGTGTTATTCACATGGATTTCAAATTTCCTATGAGCTTGTTGCCTTAACCTGTGGATCTCTATTGCGCAGAAAGTTACAATTCATTTAGAATACCAACCTTCTATCTAAACATAGGGGGTGGGAATATTAAGAGTTCCAAGGCATTTGGAAAAAAAACAGATTGTAGATAGTTGTATAAACCTGGTCCATCATTCAAAAACAATATATAGCAACCAGAATCATGATCAAAGCTCCCCCCATTATATGCAGCAACTTTTTTGACTTTTTTACACAGAGAGAGGGGGGGGGAGAGAGGGAGAGGGAGAGAGACTTCTCTGAGTTGGTGATGTTTTTCCTCTTTCTTCCTCCAAACTTTGCTTCCAGGGATTATATGAAGACATCTGTCTGTCTCTGTCTGTCTATCTATTTATCTATCCAGAGTCCTCAAACTACGGCCCACGGGCTGGATACAGCCTGCCGAAGCCATTAATCCGGCCCGCGCAGGACCACGAGGCTGCCCCACCCACATCATCCCACCTACCCGCTGGCCCCCACCTGCCTTCTGGAAGCCAGGGAGGCCAAAAACAGGACGCTTTTGATAGACAGATATAGATAGATAGATAGATAGATAGATAGATAGATAGATAGATAGATTGATTGATTGATTGATTGATAGATAATAGATAGATAGATAGTTAGATTGATAGATAATAGATAGATAGTTGATTGATAGATAGTTGATTAATAGATAGATAATAGATAGATAGATAGATAGATAGATAGATTGATAGATGATAGATTGATAGATGATAGATAGATAGATAGATAGATAGATAGATAGATAGATAGATAGATAGATAGATAGATAAAATTCCTTATGCTGTTCTAAAATTTTCTCCTTCATTTCTGTTTCTTTATTCATCTAAAACAGATGAAAATTCTTGGAAACTAACATATCAGTGTTTTGGTTAAATTTAGCTCCATCTCTTTTTATTTACCTGGAAGAAACTCAGCTCAGGAAGATTAATATCTAAGAACATATATACAGGATCTTGATTAATGTTATACATTAGATTTTCTAAATAGGAAAAAAATTCCTCTCAATTTTTCCATTTATTGCGGTTAATTGATATCCACTTCAGAGTCTATGATAGATGCAGCAAGTTTCCATATTTTTACTGTGTATTTAAATTTAAATCGAATCCAATGCAAGCATTACTTTCTAAACAGCATTTATCATCGTAAATAAATGAAACGAAATGAAAAATGAAAATATTAAAATATTTAGGGCTTAAATTATTTGTATACTCTTCATACCAGTTTGGAATGATTGGAAGAAAATGTATGCATGACTACAGAAATTCAATTTAAATAGTGATTTTCCAGCAATTTATTCATTCAAGTAGCAGCAATAGATTATGATAATGATTATAATTATAAATACTATTTATTAGATTTAGTATAGCAGCCCACTCCAAAAGACTCCGGAAAGCTTACAGTATAACAATTGTACAGTTAAAAATGTAAAAAACAAACAAACCAGTAGTGGATTTCAAATCCCGACACTACCAGTTCGCTATTGGTAACGCACAAGCAAGCGGCACTTCTGCGCATGCACAGAGCATTTTTGATGACGTCTGGGCGGGTGGGCGGAGCTTCCCACTGCTGCTACCAGTTCGCCCAAATCGGGGCGAACCGCTAGAAACCCACCATTGAAACAAACATAATAACTGGTTAGGAAAACAGTCATAACAGTCAAAACAACAGAGCATCCACAAACATCCAAATCAAGTTTGGGAACAGAGCCATGTATTAAAGACCTTCTCGGACCCTAGGAGTGTGGGAACCGTGTATATCAAGGATGCTTTTCCAGAAGGCAAGAGCTGTGAATAAGACACATAAGATAATATATAATTCAGGGGATGTGGAGCATACTCATTCTGCCCCAAGTATATTGGGAAGGCAGAAGTAACTGAAAACAGTTCTCCTAATAACCAATCCCTATACTTAAATTAATGGGACGTGGTGGCTCAGTGGCTAAGATGCTGAGCTTGTCGATCGAAAGATCGGCAATTCAGCAGTTCGAATCCCTAGTGCAGCGTAACAGGATGAGCTCCCGTTACTTGTCCCAGCTTCTTCTGCCAACATAGCAGTTCAAAAGCACATAAAAAATGCAAGTAAAAAAATAGGGACCACCTTTGGTGGGAAGGTAACAGCGTTCTGTGCACCTTTGGTATTTAGTCATGCCGGCCATATGACCATGGAAACGTCTTCGGACAGCGCTGGCTCTTCGGCTTTGAAACGGAGATGAGCACCGCCCCCTAGAGTTGGGAATGACTAGCACATATCTGCGAGGGGAACCTTTATCTTTACTTTATACTCTAAAGGTGAGGACAATACCTTGAATTGCGCCTAGAAAGTGATTGGCAACCAACACAGCGTGTGTAGCAGTTGTAACATCGATAGTGAGAAGTGCTATAAATAATAGCTTCTCACGTATAGCGAGAAGTGCTTGTTCCTGCTCAGGCTGCTGCATTTTGAACTTTCTGTAGTCTCTGGATGGTTTTTAAGGGCAGCCTCATGTAGAAAGCATTGCAAAGGTCCTCCTGGCCAGAGGGCCTCGTGCTTATTGAGCAGTAACTGCAAATCCAGGAAGGCCCAAATTGTGCACCAATCTCAAATTGAGGGTAACCAAGACCAACGGTGGCAACCTCCTCAGCCAAGGAGTCCCAAACAGACACAGCCAGTCTGCCTTATCAAAAATTAAGCCAAAGTCTGTTTCTCCCCCATCCAGAGTCAAACAGCCTCAAGTCAGTACATTGACAGCTTCACATGCACAGCCCAAAGTTGATGTCAAACTCTAAACTGATGGATAAGCTAACCCAGTACTTTTATGTAGAACTTCAAGCCCTGCTAGTGAGAGGCCATGGATGCAATCTCTACTCTTCTGAGAGCATCATCTCAAAACACTGCTAAGGCAGGAGGCAAACCACTGCAACACAGTAACAGTAGCACTTAAACTTATATACCACTTCACAGTGCTTTACAGCCCTCTCTAAGTGGTTTACAGAGTCAGCATATTGCCCCCAACAATCTGAGTCCTCATTTTACCAACCTTGGAAGGATGGAAGGCTGAGTCAACCTTGAGCCGGTGAGAATTGAACTGCCAAACTGCAGGCAGTCGGCAGGCAGCAGAAGTAGCCTGCAGTACTGCATTCTAACCACTGCGCAACTGCAGCTCTTAATCCTTACTCCCACAGCCAATCCAGAAGGATACCATGGTTGATGGTACCAAAAGTCACTGAGGAATCAAGGAGCACAAGGGTGGGGTCCATCTTGAGTCGACCAAAGGTCATTGACAAGAATGACCAACACTATTTCCATTTAGTAAAGTGAGTTCATTTAGATCAGGGGTGTCAAACTCGATTTCATTGAGGGTCGCATCAGGGTTGTAGTTCATCGAGGAGGGCATGGCCAGCTCGATGTCATTCATGTCAGGGGCACCTGTGGTGGCCCGAGCACTCTGCCAGTGAAAACGGGCTCCCGAGCTCCATTTTTAGCTGTGACGGCCTCCTGCAACCCTCTGCCAGCGAAAACAGAGCTCAGGAGGGCCACCTGCCTGCCTCGTGAGCTCCATTTTAAGCTGCTCATGGCCCTCCCGAACTCCATTTTCGCTGGCAGAGGCACCTCAGGCTGGTCCTTTGCTGTTTCCAGAGAGGCCCCGTGGGCCAGATCTAAGCATCCCGTGGGCCGGATTCGGCCCGCGGGCCTTTAGTTTGACACCCCTGATTTAGATATTAGGTATTCTTTCTATGCAGTTAAATCAGGACCCAAGTGAAAAATTATTTTAAAAGTTCAGGACTATTGTACAAACTAAGCTGGAAATTTGAAAACACCTGCCTCTGACCTTGTCAAGAAATCTGCAGGGGCTGTGACCCACAGAATCCTTCTTTCTGTAAATCTCAACTTTACAACAAAGCAGTACGAAACCATTTACAACAATTTCTTACACTTAGTATTAATTGTACTTTTTGGCAGAACCAGAAAGATTTTGGCAACAAATACGGCACTGTCCTCATTCTCAAAAGATTGGTTTGTTGTTTCCGTCATTGCCTGCCCAAATTCTAATAAACTCTTAAGTGGCACTTGGGTGTCTTTTATCTATCTCAGTAGAGGCCATCCATGGACAAATAGCCTGTTTTGGCTGGAGATGATGGGATTAAAGGTATGCTACCACAGTGTAATTAAAATGGTATAATTAAAGTCTTATTTTAAATTGAGCTGCTGATAAATTAGCTACACTCTTTAGCAAAGGTGTAATAAGAATAGATATTCATTAGAAGTGGAACAAAATCTAGTGTAGTGGGTTTCTGTTTTTGTTTCCAAAAATATCTTCTTCTCCAGCCATCATCTTTCTTGGTCCTTTAACAATGGAAAACTAGAATAGGACGAAAATTTCTAGAAGTGGTAGGCCCTAATAGCAATAGCAATAGCACTTAGACTTATATACCGCTTAACGGTGCTTTCGTCAACCCTGAAGTTGGCCTCACTGTGGCCATTTTCTTTTCTGTAGCTTTCCTCTCAGGAGATTTCTTTTCGCTCCAGGCTGTAGCCCTCTCTAAGCAGTTTACAGAGTCAGCATATTGCCCCCAACAATTTGGGTCTTCATTTTACCCACCTCGGAAGGATGGAAGGATGAGTCAACCTTGAGCCTGGTGAGATTTGAACTGCCAAATTGCAGGCAGCTGGCAGGCAGCAGAAATAGCACGCAGTACTGCACACTGACCACTGCGCCACCGTGGCTCAAGCTGTTTTTTTTCCCTTCCTATATTTCTGCTTTGAGTTTCCTTCACCTGCTATTACCACCTCTGTTTATGGTCCTGGTGCCTCATAAATGTCATAAAAAGAATGGAATATATCATGGGGAGCAGGGGTGGGTTCTACTTACCTTTACTAGCAGGGCTGCGTGCGCGCATTTGCTTTGCTCGCGTGCGCGCACGCTCTTCTGCACATGTGCAGAAGCGTTTTGATGACGTTCTTCAGCTTTGAAACAGAGATGAGCACTGCCCTCTAGAGTCGGGAATGACTAGCATATATATGCAAGGGGAACCTTTACCTTTGCCTTATAGCAGTGTGGCAGAAATGTGAATTCAGATAGAGAAGACATACTGTATTAGGACCATAATATAGAACTCCAGGCCATGAAATAACCATTGCACAAAACCATGGTCAATTTAAGATAGCAATTTAATCTCTGGTCTACAGAGATAAAGGTAATGCAGTTTCCTGTTGTTGTTGTTTTTTATGATTTAGCTCACGAAAACTGGATTCCATCCTGCGAGTTTGTTTGTAATAAAGTTGCATGCTCCTCCTCCTCCTCCTCTTGCTGAAGTGGTACCTAATAACCATTTCCCATTATTGTAAAAGTTACAAAAAACTGTTTCGGCCTCCTCTTCCCAGTGTTTGCCTATCTACCATTTGACATTCTACAAGCCCTGGGAAATTTCAATGACACAGCTTGGAATGGGTTCAGTGACCTCAATCATGCCCTCCCCACCCACTCCAAAACTCCTTTCAATTTGCAAAAAAAGCTTTAAGTGGACAAAACCCAGATGCCTTTTTTTTTCTTCTTGTACTTCAGTACGAACCGATTGGACTTGTAGATTCCTGTCAAAGTGATGTATGTAGTTCATCTTCTATTAACTCTTTCCATGAGGGAAAAGATTTAAAATGTCAGTTGGGAGTCCAGCGCTGTGTTTCTTTTCCGAGCTCCTTTATTTTGCAAATTCAGCAGTTCATCAAGAGCAGCTCTTCCTCCAAAATGAGTATTAAAAAGTGATCACTACAGTTCATAAGTACAAGGCATCAAAGACATTACTTGAAAGGAAGTACTGCTGAAATCTCAGGGACTTAACAACATGAGAAGCATTTTGTTTTTTTGAAATGATGTTCTTCCAAAATATATCTTTAAAATCATTATATTCATTACAGGAGTTTCATATAAAAACGGTTGATGATAAGTTGTCTTTCATTAGTTCACTTGAAAAAAAAATTCCATTCATTAATGTGAGGCTCCCTATTAAAAGCGGCAATCTTGGCAAAATCCTTTGAGAATCCGCCACACTGAATTTTATGCAATTTATTTCCCAACTCAGATTAGAAATCAGTTCAGATTTGGATTGAAATATGTTTTGGGACTGAAGCTGAAGAAAGTTTAAAACCTCTGTAATTAAATACCTGAGGTAGCTTTGGTTAAGAGGTACCTTCCAATCTATGTAGAAGACTCTCGGAACAAAAACTGATTTTATATGGCTTTTCTTGGTAACTTGGCTGGCCTCAGGCAGAAATATAATGGCATATCCTTAAGGGTAGATTTTTTAATATATGTTATGGTATGCAGATCACATAGGACCATGATGTCGAACATGGAGCCATATCAGTGGGCACGCGAGCATTGCCATAGCTCACCTCCAGCGTGCATGCGTGCGCCTGGTCAGCTGACTTTTGGGCCTTCTGGTCCCACTGGAAGTTGGGAAATGGGCTGTTTCCGGCCTCCGGAGGGCCTCCAGGGGTGGGGAGAAGGTTTTCGCCCTCCCCAGACTCCTAGAAAGCCTCTGGAGCCTGGGGAGGGTGAAAAACGGGCCTACTGGGCCCACCATGCCATCACATGTTAAAAGCAGGGGGGAGCATGGGGGGCACATGCGCAGGGGCGGACCGCATTGAATTATGGGTGTGGGCACGCACATGGGCGACCTCCCCGCGCTCCCCCCACTTTTGGCACACGACAGCAAAAAGGTTAGCCATCACTAACATAGTGATGTATTTTTGTACTATGTATTTTTTATTTATATTTTTCTCTCCCTCCCTCTTCTCTTTTTTTCTGCTCTTTATTTCTCAGAAACATGTGCTGTTAATAACGGAGGCTGTGACCGGACTTGCAAGGATACAGCCACAGGAGTCCGCTGCAGTTGCCCAGTTGGATTTACCTTGCAGCCTGATGGGAAAACATGCAAAGGTCAGCTTCTGTTTGCTTTGCGATGCATCACTTCCCTTTACCAGCTTCAGTACCAGAGCTTAAATGCATGTAATTATAATCAAACTCATGGAGTTTTATACTCTGAAAAGTCTGATTGTGTTGTTATAAACTTAGAAATATCTTTATTGTCACTTTGAATGTACACTAATCGGCATGCTTAAAAACTAAATTTCGTTGCATATGGCTCTCAAAGGGTCACCGCCTCCAAAATACACTACATAAACATGACAAATAAATACATAAATGAATACAAAATTATGCATTTACCCACATATATTATACGACATAGAGAGAAACAACACAGTCTGGTTCTTATGTGTACATGTACATGGCCAGAAAAACTAATCTTGGAAGTTTACCAGACGGATGGCATAGGGAACAAAGCTGTTACAAGATCTGGTAGTCCTGCTAGAAATACTTTGAAACCTCCTCCCAGAGGGGAGCAACAGAAACAGCCACTATCACTGCTACTGTTCCTTTATTTTGTGATACACGGCTTTCATAGCACCACAATTGCCTTTTAACTGATCTTCGGAGGGCTAGAGCCAGACTTCATTACATTAAGAGTGCACTCAGGGGTGGGTTCTACTTACTTTTACTACCAGTTCGCATCGTGCACGTGCGCATGTGCAAATAACTTCTGATGACGCCCGGGTCAATGGGCGGAGCCTCCCGCTGGTTTTACTACCAGTTCTTGCGAACCGGTCTGAACCAGGGGCAACCCACCACTGAATGCACTACAAGTCTTATAGGTTTCAATTAGGCTGCTAAATTGATAGCTAAGTCTGGATCCAGCCTACTACCTTATTTCAGCATGCATGGAAACATTTTTCCAGCATCCTTCAGATATTTCCCATACATGTGTATGTGTGTGTGTGTGTGTGTGTGTGCGTGTGTGTGATAGATAACAAACTAAGAAAAAGAGGAAAATACGACATTTCATCTTGGATCTCATGTTGCAAAAGTCTTTTTAAAACTGTTTTCATTCAGGAGCTTTAAATAGGAATGTTTCATTGAGTATTTACAACATGAAATGATGCCATAATTACATATATGTGGATTTAACATGACTTAATATCACTATGATAGTTATCATAATTATAATTATAAACAAGGGTTAACTAATGTAATAAGATAATTTAAGTTATATTTCTTTTCATTTTTTACCAGTTTTAATGATTTAATTGTGGATATTGTTATATTCAATGTACCAAAATACAAACAGCCAGAAGACTATAAGTAACAGAATACTAAATACATGCACCTAATTTCTAGATGCTCACTAGAAGTTAAAAATTATGCATTTACGTTTCTTGATAAGCAGTTTGTTTATTCATTTATTATCAGTTTTTATATTGCCTGAAACACTCAACTCTACATATATTGTCTTTTTCTGACTAATGTGAATAGTCCAAATATAGGCCTTTCCCAATTCTGCTCCCTGAAATCCTTTTGGCAAGAAATGCCAAGGCCAAGCATGGAGTATCTGTGGTCTGAGAACGTGCTTTTCCATTGACTTGTAGCCTCTTCCATCCAATTCATCGGGAAAATGCACTTTTCTTGAAAGACTATTTATAATCCGATCTAGATATATATGTACATGAATATAATTCAAAATAAATTATTGAGGCTGGTGGTAATTTGTTGAAGAGCAGGCATTCAGATGAATGGAATATTCCATATTTTTATTTGGATATACTGTAAGTCTTGATAATTTGGGATCTTTGAGATAGGTGAGCCATGGTGGCGCAGTAGTTAGAATGCAGTATTGCAGGTTAACTCTATCCACAGCCTGGAATTGACTCTGCCTTCCATCCTTCTGAAGTTGATAAAATGAGGAATCAGATTGTTGAGGGCAATATGCTGATATTGTAAAGCGCCTAGAGAGTGCTGTAAAGCACTATGGAGAGGTATATAAGTCTTAAGTGCTGTTGCTATTGCTAAAAGGAAGTTCTAAGAATAATTTCCCCTTAAAATCTGTTTCCCATTAATCTCTGAAAAATAGACAGCCACTTTTGGGTACTAAGGATAATGTGACAGAAGTAAAGCTATGTAAATAAGTATGCCTAAAATTGAACTTTTAACCAATTTTACTGACTTGCAATTTTGTGTGAATAATGAGAAGACCTACTGTATATATGTACAATTCAGCAGCAACTACAGCCTCCTTCAGCCAAAGTTCTTTTAATTATCTTATAATTATTATAATCCTAGACCAACTGTATAGTCTTTTATTTAAAAATCTATTCTAGTCTTCACCAGAAGTGTTTACCCCAGTGGTGGGCTTCAAATTTTTTTACTAACGGTTCTGTGGGTGTGGCTTGGTGGGCGTGGCATGGCTTGGTGGGTGTGGCAGGGAAAGGATACTGTAAAATCTCCATTCCGTCCCCAATCTAGGGGAAGGTTACTGCAAAATCCCCACTTCCTCCCGATCAGCTGGGACTTGGGAGGCAGAGAATAGATGGGGGCGGGGCCAGTCAGAATTTTTACTACCGGTCTCCGAACTACTCAAAATTTCCGCTACTGGTTCTCCAGAACTGGTCAGAACCTGCTGAAACCCACCTCTGGTTTATCCCTATGCCTCAAGCCAAAGTGATCTATCCACAGTAGCTGGTAATATAACTAATATTATAACTTACATTGAACACACATTCAGAAGTCATATTTCATCAATAATTAATATAGCTTTTTTAAGAAAATGCTCTGAACATCCCAGCTGTTGATGAATTTAGAACTAGACTTGTTTAGAAATGCAATATTGTGGCTTTCTTAATAAGAAGGCAGGGATCCACTGATAATTAAATTTACTACTTGCATAAACGCCTGATCTTGGTTAAAGGCAAAACTTCAATTCTATTTTTATATTTCTACCTCATTTATTTGAATTACTTGCAGGTTTAAAATAATTTTACTTCATGAACAAACGACTTTTGGAATTTTTTTAACTGTTTAAGTTGATGTAAATTATGAAGTCTGTGACCACTGTTTCTTCACAGTGATGATACAGCTTTCTAAATGTGTCATTTTGCTGAATGAAATTTAACTACGTGTGAAAATAGTTCCATGAAAAAGTTATACAGGTAGTCCTCGACTTACGATCACAATTGAGACCAACATTTCTGTTGCTAAATGAAACATTTGTTAACTGAATTTTGCCCCATTTTATGACTTTCCTTGTTACAGTTAAGTGAATCACAATAGTTGTTAAGTTAGTAACATGGTTGTTAAGTGAATCTGGCTTCCCCGTTGACTTTGCTTCTGAGAAGGTCACCAACCCCAGGACACTGCAACTTCATAAATATGAGCCAAGTGCCAAGCATCCAAATTTTGGTCACATGACCATGAGGATGCTGCAATGGTTGTAAGTATGAAAAACGGTCATAAGTCACTTTTTCAGTGCCATTGTAACTAAACGGTCACTAAATGAACTGTTGTAAGTTGAGAACTATCTGTAGTGATGATGCCGTAAGCCTCAAGGTACATTTGGGATTAGAAATGTCTACAGGATATGGTCAAGATGGCAGTCACAGCCATACAGTTGAAGGTCCACCATTTTTTTCATTTTGTGGACATCTCCTACCTGGGTTCCAGATATTCTTGTAATGTCAGCATCTAAAAAAAATGTTAAAGTTGAGCTACAGCAGAGATGTCAAAGTTGGCTGAAAATAGATGTATAGGAAGATACCGTAACAATACAGTTGTTATCTTAAAATTATCCATTGCATAAAGAAAGCGGATAAAATATTTTTTTTCCCCTATTTTGGGGTAATGCAGTGAAATTATCTGCTGAAAATTTTGGAAGATGCATAAAGATTTCCCTGGACGTTTCCTCATAAACTGTGGAATTTGTGGCCACAAAATTTGATAGTGGTTAGGTTTTATTTTGTGGCTATAAACCTTGGTAATTCTGTGTCACTTCTTGTAATCTATCCTATATGTTAGTTGCTGGAGACAGTTGTGAGAAGAGATACCCAGGTCTTTAGCTGAACGTTATGAAACAGAGGAATTCAAGGAGTATGTGGTTTGGCTTTCTTTGTGTTCCAGTCAGGAATGACAGAACCTGAGGCAGTAGAACAGTAGCTTCCATGTCTTATTGAATGATATTGAAGAGGTTTGATTGCATAAATTGTTACAATTACTAGCAAGGTTTAAAGAAGTTGAGATGTAGTACAATTGAAACTAGCATCATTTCTTTTTTTTTTGACAGCCAGATTTTTTAATGCAATTTTTTTTCCAGACAGTCTATGATTTTCCTTTAATTTCTTATATCTTCCTCCCTCCCCTTTATTATTATTATTGACAAAATATTTATGCTGCCTTCACATGCAAGACCAGTCGCTTCTAATATATTTAAAATATAATAAAATAATTCAGTTCAGTAGGTCACTCAGATAGACCTGTTAGTAACATCAGAACTTTTAAGAGTGATATTTTAAGAATATTATACATATTCTTTGACACTCTACAATTAATTTAAAAACACCCGTGTTTCCCCGAAAATAAGACCCTATCTTATATTTTTTTGAACCCTGAAATAAGCGCTTGGCCTCATTGCCACGTGCTCAAAAGCCCAGTTGGGCTTATTATCAGGGAATGTCTTATTTTGGGGGAAACAGGGTATAAGTTTCCATCATGTGAATGAACGCTTTTCCATCAAGGAACAGACAATCTGGTGGCTCTTTAGGAGTTTAATTTATAGCTATATCAGCCACTGCCAGCAGAAATGCATACCTGGGAATCCTTGAATTGGTGGTCCAAAATGTCTAGAGTTTTCTAGATCATCTAAGCTGATCCAAAGTCTGGATAGCCACAATTCCAATGGAAAATAATATTAGGGTATGCTTCAGGATGGATGCAGAAAGCTTATACTACCCTAATGATGAATGATGCTTTTAGCATCACAGGTAGTTTGGCCTTACCTTTGTGACTGAGGATCCCAGTCATTGTCGTCGTTGTCATCATCATCATCATCATCATCA